GAAGAAATGACAACCAATTTAGTTAATAGTCACCATTCAGCATTCATTTGAAAGCAATTCTTAAAACAAGAATTCACAAGAAGAAAAAGTCTTATTTAACCATTAATCTTTTGTTTAGAACACTTAAAAATTGCCAAAATTAATGATGAATAAGTCAATGGACTTTTTGATAAGTAGATTTTAATTGTGTAAAACGAAGAAAGGAGGTCTAATCAGCCACTTAAGCAATTTTAACCTTAGGAAGTCACTCGTTTTTGTTGATTTTTTTCGCTGGAAAGGGAAAACTTGATATTTTTTATCCAGATCTTTTTGTAAACAAAAAAAACAAAATGTATAACAATAAATTCAAGCATTCATTTTGAACCATCCACCACATCAAACGCGATTGCAATCACTACATGATTTGCGTTGCCAATGTCGCAACAAGTAGTTGTTTTATTTGCAGTCGTGACAATATTCAGATTTTTCTTCTAATGGTTTTGATGTACTTGTTTTCTAGACATTCCATGGTAATGTCAAAACCCATATATTTTATTAAATTTGTTTGCTCTGTTTGAGAAAGTCTTGGTTGTATCAAAATGTTCAAATGAAAAACGATGGTAATTGAAAACAAAGTATATGTATAAAAGTCATCCAAAATTGTTGATTTCATCCTGATAATTTTCTACATAACCTTTGTCCTTTGAAACGTTGTCACTATCAAAACCATCTGACTCCTCGGTTTCTTATTTTTCCATTTTGTTTTTTTTGTTTTTTGTTTTTTATTCATAAAAAAGTGATTTATTTATAAATATCCAATCTTGATATAAAATATTTAGATTTCTCTTCTTAAAGTTAAGCTTTTTAACAAATACAAAATTGTTTAAAATATTTTATTATTATAGTTTTTTGTCTGTTTGACAATTAATTGTCTTTAAAATATGGTGGTCATAATTAATAAAAATAAATAGATAACAAAATATAAATAAATTAGGATGTTTTCCAGATGTTTTAAAATATAATTATTTAATCCAAAATGGGAGCTATCGATTAAATGGAAACAGTTACATATATACTTTATTATTAACGTCTAGATTTAATTAACCCTTAGACGACTGACTAAAAATACTTTTTTCTTTTTTTTGAAAAATAAATTTTGAAAAAAAATATGCGAAGTTTCCAAAAAGATGAAAGGTAGTGTCCGACTTTTCAAGCAGTTCCAGTACATTCAAAGTTATTTAAATAGAATAGTTCAACTCAAATTCAATTCTTTGTATTATTCATATTTCTTAAGATCATTTCAAAACTCAAACTAAACAGTTGTAAAGGAATAAATGAACATTCATTTTTAAAAACTTTTAAAACAAAAATTAATAATAATTTATAAAAAATTAAAGGGGAAAAACGTTTTATAATTTATAATTTTAAAATAATTTTAAAAAGCTACAGTTAGTTTCATTTTGTTTAATAATTTTTTCAAAATTATAATGTTTTGTTTCAAAATAATGATAAAAATGTACCTTTAATCAACACTGTTTCAAAACAATAATTTATTGTTTCAAAAGAAAAACAATTGTTTCAAATTAATGAATAATTGTTTCATTAAATGATTTATTTTACATTAATTATGACTAATTGTTGAAAAAACTTGTTTTTTTGTTTCAAATTTTTAATTATTTGTTTCAAAACTGTGTTTGAATTCTCAAAACAATAAACACAAACAAACAATGAAAACAAACACATTTTGACAATAACTAACTGGGAAAATAAAAAATGTATATATTTAAACACCATTTAAATCTATATTTTCAATGGCAGTTAACACTTTTCAGTTTATTCATAGAGACAATGTCCAATCATTTTTGAATCAAGAAGATCCTCATCAACAACCAGTTCTTGATGAAGTACCACTTGCACAATTGAGAACTACAGATGAAATTTCAAGATCAAGTAGTTTGCGGAACACTGAAACACAACCATTTGGAGACACACAAATTACAACAAAACAAACAGAACAAAAAAGAATCTATGTTAAAGCGACCCAGTCCCAGAAAAACAGACTTTATAATGAATACTGTGAACACGGAGAAATCAAAGATTGGCGATATTATCAAGAAAAAAGCAAAATGAATGAACAAATGGTCAAACGGTATTTGAAGTATCTGAAAGGTGGTATTGATATTACGCAAACTCAAAAAGTGGGAAGAAAACCAAAATATTCTCCTGAGTTACTCACCGAAATAGCCAATAAATTAACAATAGATAATAAAACACTAAGAGAAACCAAAAAACATTTGGCAGATAGTGTTTTGAATGAAATAAGAACTAATATAAAAGTAGTGTCGATTTCAACAATAAGTCGATATATCAAAGACCCAGACATAATGAAAGTAGCCGAACTTCCACCTTTAAGTTTTACCGAGTGCACAATAAGAGGTCCCAGAGCGAACACACAGGAAAACAAATTACTACGAGTACAAAAAAGAAGAGAACTTGATCAATTTATTTCTTCGGGTTATCAAGTTGTTTTTGTCGACGAGAGTCACTGGAAGGTTGGCAATGTCAGATCCAGAAATTGGGGTGTTAGAGGAAAAAACATTTTCGTGAACAACCATTGTCGACATTTAATTTATCGTGCGTCTGTGCTATAAGTGATACCGGTTCAAAATATTGTACTTTATTTAACCAAACTATTAATGGGGAAATATTTATTAAATTTTTTAAATTCCTCATTGAGGCATTCACAACGGATGGAAGCAGGATTGTATTTGTCATGGACAATGCTTCAGTCCACAAAGATGACATTGTTCAACTTGCAGAAGACAGAGGGTGCAAAGTGTTGTTCAATGCGCCTTACTCACCAGAGTGCAACCCTATAGAAAACGTATTTGGAATATGGAAAGTCCGAGTTGGAAAATTGAATAATGTGACTATAGCAGATATGATTGAAAACATCTCAAAGTGTTTTGATGAAATTAGTCCAATTGAAATAAGACGAATTGTAATGAATTTTATTAATATTGTTTCTGTGAAAGTTTTTGCAATGGAAGATCTTTAACTGGTTTTTAATTTTTTGTGTTTATTGTTTTGAGAATTCAAACACAGTTTTGAAACAAATAATTAAAAATTTGAAACAAAAAAACAAGTTTTTTCAACAATTAGTCATAATTAATGTAAAATAAATCATTTAATGAAACAATTATTCATTAATTTGAAACAATTGTTTTTCTTTTGAAACAATAAATTATTGTTTTGAAACAGTGTTGATTAAAGGTACATTTTTATCATTATTTTGAAACAAAACATTATAATTTTGAAAAAATTATTAAACAAAATGAAACTAACTGTATCAACAATTCAAGTTAAAATAAAAGTCAGTTACTCACAGCTCAATTCAATGTAACTAATTGGGAGAAAATAACCAATAAAAAACACTTTGGCCAAATTAAGAACAAAACAACAAAGCCTATATCAAGATACAAAATAAGTTCCACTCATGCCAAAAATAGATGGAGAATCAATTGCGATGATTTATTTTGTAAAGAACCCGTTGTTGGCCATAATCTATACTGATTATTTAACTAACGCATTGATAACAATTAAACAAGTGTGCTTGATGGTAATGAAATCAACAAAAACACCATTTTTACACAGAAAATATCAATTGAAAAATAAGATGGTACAAAACCAATAGTTTTGCGATGTTGAATCAACGATATTATACTATATTTCATAATAAAAATATAGTAAATTTATAATTTTCAAAATAAATTCAGATAGTTTTATTATCAAAACAATTAGAATACAACTAGAAAAATAACAAATAATATAGTTAATGAATAAATAGAACCGTAGTTTGATTAGCAACGAGAACACACGATTTTACCTTTGTACGGACATAACCAGCACCCCCACAATCATTACTATCAACCTAACAACTGTTGAGAATTTGGCATGTTTTTCTTTCAAATAAGTTTTAGTTGAGGTTCCATTTTAAGTAGTGGTAAGCTAGCCTTTTGCATTTCCTCGTTAAATTCAAGAGAGATGTAGCAGAGCTTTTCCTTGATTTCTCTTTAGGCGTTTGTGGTGAATGGGTAGCCTCTTTCAGTCAAGATATTCATCAAGTAGTCGGTCAAATCAGTACCAGCGAGATCAATTCTGAGGATGGCTTGTGTGGAGTAACCTTCATGGATTGGGACTGTGTGTGAGACACCAGTAACAATAGTAATAAACAAACTGTTGTTCTACCTGATGTTTACAATGAAAGGACGGCTTGGATAGTAACATATATAGCTGGTGTAATGAAGGTCTAGAACATGATTTGTTTCATCTTTTTTTTGTCAGACTTTGGGTTCCTTGGTGGATTCAATAAACAAGACTGGGTGCTCTTCTGAAGCAAAATATGACAAACAATTCAAGCAGTATAAAATGATTATTCCAGTTTCAAAACACATCTAAAAATATAATTTTATTTGGTTTTCTTTTCTTTTATTGTGTTTATTTACCGACATGATGTTACATTTTATCGGGACATTACAACAAAAAAGTGTAAAAAACGAGCAATAAGTTCATAAAATTATGACAAGTCGTCTTGGTTTTCTTGCTCAAAACAGTGATTTTTAAAACTAAAAATCCATGGGCAACAAAACTTGTAATTCTGGACTTTTTGGGTTAGTTTTTGTGCTATATTTAATATTTTGGACAGGAAACTTGGTAATGTGGGGTTTTGAGCTTTGTGTGTGTTTTTATATTTCCACTCTCCCGTTGTTTCAGTCAAAAGCAAGAAGCGAAAACATGGATTTTTTGAAAAACAATAAAAATTCAGACAATAGATTTTGTTAGTGATGGCAAAAGTTGCATTGTGCATAACTTTATTGTGGTTATTTTACCCTTACTAAAATTATAAGTACAAGTTACTCCCTTTTTGGAAAACAATGAACTGTTTTTCAAATCAATTATTATAATTATAATTATTGATTATTGATTTTATCGAAACTTTTTTAATCCAATTGGAAAATCCAATGGCCGAGAAAGCTATCGTAAGCGACTACGGTTGGCTTGTTGAAGGACCCGCACCCCAGAGAAAGACAAGGAAGAAGGTAGTTAGTGCAGAAAGAACAAGCAAGTTCGATCCCGCGGTGGAAGTTTTGACTGAAGTTGAGTGTTTTCAGTTGTTTTTGAGCGAAGAAACTTTCTATAACATATTGACTTTTTCAAACAAAAAAATAGCGAAGAAACACAAAATAAAGGATAAGCTTTTGCCCAAACACATTTACAGGTTTGTAGGGATATTGATTTACATGGGAGCCCACCACGACACCAAAAACCCCATTGAAGAGCTTTGGTCCATGGAAGATGGAAAAGCTATTTATAGAACAGCCATGTCGAGGAACATGTTCAAGTTCATTACTGCCAACATTGAGACATACGATGTTGATGCTCCAGGAGCAGTCGAAGTGCCACAGCCTCCCCCGGATGACAAAAACAAAGATGATGAAGATGCCAATTGTGTCGAAGGTGCTGCAAGTGAAGAAGGCGACGATGAAGAAGAAGACGAAAACAGAGAGTATCTCAACAGTCTGGAATTTGATGACGAGAAATTCCGAATACTCTCCAAAAAGCAGCTGAAGAAAAGCGTCAGGGTGAAGAGGGGGATCGATCTCAAGGAAAACTATCTAGTTACCCCAGCACCCACCCCAAACGAAAGTGACAGATTCGCTTCAATTTGAGTGATCTTGGACAAGTTCATCTCTAACCTCGTTAACCAGAAATACTACACACCTAGCAATTTTGTTTCGGTCGACAAGCATCTCTGCTCATTCAAAGGCAAGATGTGGGCCAAGGTGTTCATCAAGTCAAAACCTGGCCGCTACGGGATCAAATTCCGAGTTTGTTCTATTTTTATATAATGTGTTTTAGTTATGAAGCAAAAATGACAACTTGTTTCTATTATCGTTTGAATTTTATATTTGAATGTTTTAAGTGACTTTTTGTTGTTTTGTATATGTTTTATGTTATGTTTTAAAAATAACTTTTAGATGTCTGCTGACAGTGAAACTGGTATGGCGTTAAACCTTCAGATGTATTGTGGTAAATGTGGGGGGAGAGAAGAAAACCAAGGTTTCAGAGTAACCCGTGACATGGTACTCCCCATGCTGTGTCGCAGATTCAAGACGACCGTGGTGTGCGACAACTTTTTCTGTACGTTGAAGTTGTCGCACTACCTTGCTGCCTTTGGTTGTCAACTTCTGGGCACCATGAGGATGAACAGGAAAGAAGTGCCTGCTGAAGCCAAGGATGTGAAGAAGAGAAGCAGCGACACCACCATTTTCTTCTCGAAGGGCAAGAGCAAACTTGTCTCCTACTACAACGAAAAGAAAAAGTTGGTGTTGCTGCTTACCACTTGCCACGACAAGGATGATATTGTCGCAGTGGAGACCACCGTCTATAGTGGGGGCAAGCAACAAGTTGTCCACAAGCCCCAGCCCATCATTGATTACAACCACAAGATGGGTGGGGTTGATACCGCCGATCAGATGGTCAGGTATTACAGCTGCAGACGCAAGACATACAGATGGAACATTCGGGTCTTGTACGACATGATCGATATTGCGGCTCTCAATGGGTACAAGACCTACTCAGCATTCAATAAAGGTGATCGTATTGAATACCGGAATAAGCTTTCAAGGGATTTGATGGCTTATAATTGATTTTATCTTCATGGTTTGGTTGTTTTTATGTTTTATTGAATCTGAACTGTTTCATTCAAACTGAGCTGTTTGAACGAACACCAACATTTTTAGCGACAAAAAAATAAATTGGGGGTTATTATACCATTTTTATTGTAAAATAAACTTTTATCCTTATTATAAACATGATAATATGTTGTTAACAGTGTGTTCAACTTCCATAAGTGAGTGCATGGGGCTTGTTAACCCGAGTATCT